CCCCCCGACTCCGCCCAGCCAAAGCCCCTGCCCTTGCAGTCCTGGGGAAGCACCTGCTGGGGTTTCGGTTGTGGGAAGCAGACGTGCCACCTTCCACTGCCTACACTGCTGGCCCAACAAGGCCAGGAAGCCAGAACGTTGAAGGGGGCGCAGCACTCACTGGCGGGGAGTGGGCCCCAGGAGGAGCTGGGGTGTGTGCCTGGACAGAGCTAAGGGCGAGGCTGGAAATCAGCCCTAGCACTGTTGGGCAGGAGGTTCTGCCTGCCCCCAGCACCCTCAGGATGGGGAGCACCCTCGGGTGGGGTCTCCAGAAGGCTGCTCACCATCCACTGTGGCTGCCTTGACGGGCTCGATCCTGGACACAATCTCAGCCAGGTCAGTGAAGGAGGCGTTGGGGCAGGTAAGGACCTAGAGGGTGGGGGGAGGGAGGTCCTAGCAGGGGAACTGATGTGCCCCCCAAAAGTCCCCCAGCCTGCTCTGTGAGTCTGATGGAGCCAGGAAAGCAGCTGGGGCGGGGGGCAACTTCCATGCCATCCCATCCCAGAGCCCAGCTGCCCCTGCCCGAGGGTGAGTCCATGGGAACAATGGTCAATGGTGCAGGGGCAGCCCTGACCCTTGGGGTGCAGGGCCAAGGCAGGGAGGCCACAGATGGGGGTACCAGGGCTACTCACATCACAAGCCTTCGTCTTCCTCTCCTGCCGGTCCTCCAACATCTTGTCTAGCACCCCACTTCGAACCCAGATGTCAAACACAGTCCGTCCATGCTGGTACCCCACTTCCTACATAGACCCAGGCCCCCTGTCACAGGGGCTGGGGGCCCCATTTCTTGCACAGACCAAGGGCCACCTATCACAGGGGTTTGGGTCTCACCAGCACCCCACTTCCTGCGCAGACCCAGGGCCCCAGCCCTGCAGCAGCGGCTGCCACTCACACAGATCTCGTTGAACTTGCCAAACTCCAGGGTGCCATAGCTGTCGATGGGGGGGCGCAGGTACTCGCAGTAGTCGCTGTTCCTCACCACCTCCAGCTGCCGCACGCAGCACACGTAGGCCAGGCGCGTCTGGATCTCCGCCATGTTCAGCACCTGGTGGTATAGAGCCAGGCAGAGGCTGACTTGTGACTGCAATGGCCTCCCTCCATCACTCCGGACCCCAAAGGGACCGCAGCCTATCTCAGCCAGGGGAGGTTCAGGGCAGGCTCCTAAGGCTGGAAGGATGCAGCCACTGTCCTATTAAGGATCTTGGCCGAGTGTGTACAGTTGTGTGCTGGAAAGGGTGTGCGCAAGTGGGGTTGTGGGAGGTATATGCATATGGGGTGTATGCATGTGGGGGCTGTATTAGTGGTGGGGTGTGTACATGGAAAGGTGCTCGTGTAGGATAGTGTGGGTGTGAAAGTGCATGGGAGATGCAGATGGGGTGAATGTGCACGAGGGGGTGCACATGTGGGTGGTGGGGCAGCAGGGGGGATGTGTGGATCGGTGGGGTATACGGTGGGGTGTATGTATGTGGGGTGAGCATGCATGGGGGATATAGAGGGTACTGTGGGGTTTGTGCATATGATGTGTGTGGGTGCGGGGAGAGCATGGGCGTATGGAGTGTACACATGTGGGATGTTGGGGGGGGGCATGTGAGGGGTAGTGGGCAGGCCAGTGCATTAACCCTGATATCCAATGAGATATCAGGGCACGGAGCAGGAAATGGATAGCCTCCATGCCCAGGTGCCCAGTCTCAGGAAGCCCCTGCCCCAGCCCCAGGGATCTGCAGAGCCCAGGGGGAGTGCAGGGGAGCTTTAGGGAGGGGCTGGCGCCAACCGCTCCCCAGTGGGGCAGTCCCCACCTTGACTTTGGTGGCCAGGGGGTTCCAGCGCTTCCACAGCAGCCACCACCCCGACAAGGAGTCGCCATAATTGGTGAGGTCCGTCTCATCCTGGCTGCCCACGTCAATGGCGATCACCACCTTGGCCCCCATGGACCTGGCCACGTCCGCTGCCGGGAGACTGGGCCTTGGAGGTGCTGGGACAGGCCCGGTGGAGCCCCAGGATTGGGAGCCCCTCGCCTGGCACCCAGAGGCCTCAGGCAGAGAGCTGTGCCCGTCATCCCAAACCCCACCCTAGAAAACCTTTAGTGTCTGGTGGTGGCTCAGAGCAGGCTCGCTGCTCCTCACCTTCTCACAACAGGTCTGTGTGGGCGTGCAAGCACGTGTGTGCACAGTGTGCATGTGAGTGTGCAGGTGTATGCACATGTGTGTATACATTGTGCCCGTCTGTGTGTTCTTGCACATGAGAGTGAGCCTGTGTGCACTCAGGAGAGTGTGAGTGTGCATGCGCATGTGCATGCAAGTGGGTGTTCACTCTGCTCGGCGCCAGCTGGAACATTCCTTGGCTCACTCTGTCAGAAGCGTGCACACCCCAGCCTTCCTGAAGGGTAGGCGCACCCGCCGTGGGGGTGGGGGTGGGGCACCAGCCCAGCTGGGCTGCCTGCTGGCCGGTACCTGGAAGGTTGTTGATGTAGCCCCCATCCATCAGCAGGTGTCCGTCTTTGGGGTCACACAGAGGGGGCATATAGCCCGACAGGGACATGCTGGCACGCACGTACCTCCACAGGGAGCCTGGGGGTGGGAGGTGGCCGGAAATGCTGAGGCCCAGTGGAGGCCTGTAGATCAGGGAAAGTCACCTGGCCCCCGACCCCCACCCATGCCCCCATGAGAGGGAAGTCTCTTGGGTAAGGACCAGCTGGCTGTCAGGCTTCTCTCTGCCCCCCACCC